ATTCATCTCTATTCATCTATCCATCCTCCACCTACCCATCCATAGCTCCATCCATCCATCTATCCACTCACCCATCTCTGTCCCATCCATCAATACATACACACATATGTCTCTATTCATATATCCATCTATCTGTCTATCCATACATCTCTATCCATCTATCAATCATCTATCTACTCATCCATCTCTATCCACTCATGCATCTGTCCATCTGTTTATCTATTCATCTCCACCCTTCAATCCATCCACCCATCCAGCCATCTCTTTTTTTTCTTTTTTGGTCTTTTTCAGACCGGGTCTCCCTGTAGCCCCAGCTGGCCTGGAACTCACTCTGTAGACCAGGCTGGCCTTCAACTCACAAAGATCTGCCTGCCTCTGCCTCTCAGGTGCTGGGATTAAAGGCATGTGCCACAATGCCTGGCATCCATCTCTAGCTACCCATCTATCTCCATCTATCTATCCATCCATCCATCCATCTCTATCTATCCATCCATTCATCCATTCATCTCAATCCATCCATCCATTTTTCTCTATCTATTCATCTGTCCATCCATCTCTATCCACTCATTCATCCATTAATCTCTACCCATCCATCCATCTCTTTCCATCCATCCATCTCCAGCTGTCCATCCATTCATCTATCTCTATCCATCCACCCATCTCTATCCATCCATCCATCTCTCTATCCATCTATTCATCCATCTCTATGCATTTATTCATCTCTATTCACCCATCTATCCATTCATCCATCCCTATCCATCCATCTCTATCTATCCATTCATCCACCTTTCTGTTTCTATCCATCCATTCATCCATCCATCTCCATCTATCCATCCACTCATCCATCCCTATTCATCCATCTCTATCTACCCATTCATCCATCCTTCTGTTTCTATCCATCCATTCATCCATCCATTTCTATCCATCCATTTCTATCCATCCATCTCCATCCACCCATCCATCCATTCATCCATCCCTGTCCATCCATCTCTATCTATCCATTCATCCATCCTTCTGTTTCTATCCATCCATTCATCCATCCATCCCTATCCATCCATCTCTATCTATCCATTCATCCATCCTTCTGTTTCTATCCATCCATGGAATTGTGTGAGGCTTCCTGGCTGGTCAAGAGTATGGTGCATCTGTTCTCCACTTGCCATGGAAGATGCATACATCTATCTATCCACCCATCCACCCATCCATCCATCCACCCATCCACCCATTCATCCATCCACCCATCCACCCATTCATCCATCCACCCATCCATCCACCCATTTGTTCACCCATCTATCCATCCACCCATTTGTTCATCCATCTATCCATACACCCCTATCCATCCATCTCCATCCACCCATCCACCCATTCATCCATCCCTATCCATCCATCTCTATCTATCCATTCATCCATCCTTCCGTTTCTATCCATCCATCTCTATCTATCCATTCATCCATCCTTCTGTTTCTATCCATCCATCCATTCATCCATCCATCCTTCTGTCTCTCTATTTGCACTGTTACTTGGTCTTGCTATAAACTCACTCATTCAAGTCTACTACTTTAAATCATTTTAGAGACTGTACAGCCCATGGCTGATGTGCCTTTTGGGGTAGTTCCCTCAGCCCCCATAGACAGGGCATGCCACACTGGTTCATGGAGGATAAGAGACATGTGGAACAGCCTTTGTCCTCTGGGGTCCCCTCCTCCCTTCTTGTGGCTGTCCTGTGTGGTTCTTTTGTGACAATGAATAGCGGACATGACTGTTTCTGGTAATGAAGCCCAGGGCGGAAAAGTCAGGGAGCCATCCTCACACTGACTAGATGATGTGGCTGGGACTCCAGGCTGTCTGTGTGCACAGTCACGGAGGCAGAGCCTGAGTCCAGGCCCCTGCTTTGGCCTCCCAGACTTTCCACACTGCTCTCCCCCCAAGCTTGCTCCCTGGAAGCAGCAGACAGGGACCATCTACAGAGATCTCCCACCCCCTTTTTCTTTTCCCTTGTTCCAAACCAAGTCCCACCCCTTTCAGGAAGCACTCCAAGGCTTTCTATCTCCATCCCCCAACATCTCTAAAGCTCCTCCTCCTTCCACAGCAAGTGTCAGCCTGTGAATTCCCTAGTTCAGCTGGGCAGAGCTCGGCACACAGTGGGCACTGATAAGCATTGATGTCTCCTGTCTCCTTATCAACGCTATTCTCCCCGTGAGGACTTGGTGGGTGTGTAGATCTCTGTCATCAGGCCCGCCTGGGGATTAGGATGACAGTCCATTGGCTCCAGGGGACCCTGGGAGACTCAGAGTCGATAGCCAGGCTTCCAGCTTCTGAACACCCTGTGTACCTGTCCTAGTTAGATTTCTATTGTTGTGACAAAACACTGACCAAAACCAACTTGGGAAGGTAAGGGTTTATTTCATCTTACATCTCCCACGTCACAGTCCATCACTGAGGGAAGTCAGGGCAGGGACTTGAAGACAGGATCTGAAGCACGATCATAGAGGAACTCTGCTTACTGGATTGCTTCCCTGATCTGTGCGCAACCTGTTTTCCTATACAACTCAGGACCACCTGCTCAGGGGCAGCACCACCCACACTGGGCTGGGCCTTCCCATGCCACTCAACAATCAAGAAACAATCATGTCACTCAACAACCAGAGACGTGCTCACAGACCAGTCTGATAGAAGACGTTCCCCAGTTGAGGCTCCTCTTCCCAGGTGTGTCAAGTTGACAGTTGACACTGTTCAGCACGGCGCTACAGCACTCCTCTTTCTACTCACCTCTCTGCCCTCATCCCTCTCTGGGCCCATAACTCTCCTATCAGAGCCCTTAACTCTCCTATCAGTGCCAGCTCTGTCTGTCCAGTCCTGTCACACACCTGCACTGGCTGGCTGGCTGCCTGGCCTACAGAGCAGACACTTCAATTTTGTTCCTCTCCCTGATTTCCTATAAATAGTCCATTCTATCTCCTCAGTGGCAGGGAACAGCAGGCTGAGATGGTCTGGCCACCTCCTTCTGTCCTGTAACCAGGGCAGTCAAAGAGTGGTTGTATGCCCTTGGGCAGAGCAGGCCCTTCTTGGGTCTTACCACTGAATCCTGCATGCTCTACTGACTGTGATGCACTGGGTCTGCTCCATGAATGGATCTTATGTTCTCACCCTGCTCAGGAGAGCAGAGCTAACACAGCTGGGGAGGGGCTGACTTGGTGCCTGTTAGACCTGCTAGGAAAGCAAAGGGCATGTGTGCCCTCAGGAAGGGGGTGTCCATTTCGGTTGGGCTCACTGGCAGGGTGCTAACAAGCCCACCCTGGTTAGGAGCCCCCTGAGGCCCCTGTGTGCAGCTCTATGGCCTCCAGGGACCTAAGAGTGAGAACTAAATGCTGGAGCTATGTGAGTCTAAGCAAGGTGCTTAAGTTGGAAGAGAGGTGGGAGGGGGTGAGCCTCCAGTCCCTGAGAGTATGCAAGCAGAAGCTGCTGCTCCCACCCCCAGCCTCCCATACTCCCTACCCTCCTCCCAGCCAAGCTGGGACTGTTCCCACAGCCCATTAGACCCCAAGCCTGCTTTCCACCATAACTGTGGCTCTGTCCTCAAGTCCCCAGCATCTTTGCTGAATCTAGGATCCTGGTATCTCATTGGCTCTTTTTCAGGAGTCCGGATTGGGAGTTGTTTGCTCTAAGTGGAGGGTCTTCCGTGACCAGGGCCTTTAAGAAGATTAGGGGATGGTTCCCAAACAAATCTGGGAATATCATTTGGGAGATGGGCCTCTTCGCTGCCCAGGACCAGGTAGGATAGTAGCCTCAGGGCCCATGGGAGTGAGGGAACAGGGTTTCCCTTCCTTGCACAGCCCCTGGAAAGGATAGCTCTAGGTCAGGAGTGAGCACAGGGCCCCTCATGCTACTGGCATGCAACGGAGCCATGTCTTCAACAAGGTGTGACCACAGCCTTGACAGTAGGAACTACTGGGGCTAGTCTTGGCAGGGACTTCCTCCCACCAGGTCCAGAACCCTAGTGTTATTCACCCACAGAATCCCACTGCTCATCCACTAAGAATGAGGGTCACTTGGGGAAGGCTGCCCATGGCAGAGTGTGGGCAAGAGACAAAGAGGGGTTGGCAGGGCCTGGCTGGGGGCTGAGAGCTGGCTCCAGGCTCTGGCTGCAGGACAGGGATCACTCTCTGAGGGGATGGAGCTCTGGGCATCAAAGGACCTCCCCCGCCACATGCCCTTCAACCATGGTACTCTCGCTCATGCCAAGCTCAGAGGAGAGCCTCGTCTCAGGCTGTTCCCATCCCTCAGCCCCTGGATCTGTGCAAACCCCCCTGTTTATGTGCAATCAGACATGGCCCCAGGTGCAGGCATGGCCCTGCCTCTACCCAGCCTCCTTTGCTTCAGTTACCACCCACAATCCCACCCCTAAATAAGACTCAGAACCCCTATATCTTTTTTCCTGAACCCCCCCCAGTAAAAGCCCACTACACACATATATTTGGATTTTTTTCCTTTGCAAATTTTTTTTAGTAGACATAGTCTTCTTTTTTTCTCTCTCATTTTACAGCAAACATTGCAAATATAGAAATTTTTCTGTACAATAGAACAGCTGCAGTGTACAATGAAGTTGGGGTGTGGGGGGAGGACGCACAGTGCTTCCCAACCTGCGCCCCTCTTGACACTCCCATCTGTCCCCAAACACAGCCTTTGCCTCCTTCCACCCAAGTCTCAGGGCCTCAGGCTCCTCCCAGAGGGGTGGTCCCTCTGCCTTGGCTCCGCTGCTGTGTGGTGGCCTCCAGGGTTTCAACAAAGAGACAAGCTAAATAGGGAGTCCACAGAAAGCCACAGACTGGGAGATCGAATGGGGGGGGGTGGAGCCGGCCACCTGTTATGCCCCCACAGTAGATGAGTTAGGTTGTTTGTTCGTTTGTTTGTGGTTTTGTTTTATTTTTTTTAAGAATTTCACTTTTATATCTTTTTTTTAAAAAAAAAAAAATAAGGAAGAAAATAAAGAGGAAAGAGAGTAGAGGAGGAAGGTAAAGAAATCAAAATAATGAAAAAATCCCCTCCCCCACCCCCACCCATAAGACACAGTTTTCTGAAGTCCCATGTGTAGTATGTGTGTGTGTGTGTGTGTGTGTGTGTGTGTGTGTGTGTAGGTCGCTTGCTTGCCCCGATGGTGGACACAACGCAGTTCCCATGAAGATCAGCATAGCAACTGTCACAGCCATCTGGGGCCTCTCACACTGTCCGTTCGGGGCTCAGTGCTGAGCACAGCAGCCCCTGCTGTGCGTATGTTGGGTTTTGTGTTGCTTCTCTGAGTCAAGGATAGCTGCGGTGGATCTTGTGTTCTTTTTTGGTCCAATGGGCATCACGAGTTTCGGAGAGGGCAAGGATGAGCAGGTTGCCCTGGGCCCTGCGGAGGGTGGAAGGAGGCTCAGGACTTGTGCTGGGCAGACACCCCCTTCCAGTAGTCTAAGATGTCATGCAGGTCTTCGTCTTTGGCGAACTGGACCTTCTTGCGCAGAGCGTGGCCAGCAGCCATGAATTCATCATCTTTGTGCCTCCGGCGGCTCAATCTGAGCCGCTCCCAGATGCTCGGGGATGCTCTACAGGTGTATTCCGGGGAGGACGAATAGCTCAGGTTGTGGTACTGTGGGGACAGCTGTGAGTAGGCAAGGTCACGGGGTCGTGATCGTGTCAGGGGCTCGAGGATGGATGCCTTGCGGCCACCCAGACCCTCATGAGCCGGTGGAGGTGGTGGTGGAGCAGGTGGCTCGGCTGGGTGGGAGCCCGGGTACGAGTGCCGATGCTCGCCGTACTGGCGACCCTTGTCGGCCTCTGCCCTCAGCACAGCGGCTGTGGGTGTCACAGTGAGGATGGTCTCGGGCACGGGTGAACTCTTTTCGATGTATTTGGTCCCAGTGGCCGGGGCCTTGTGTGTGCCGGTTGCCTCAGCCCGGAAGGTGCGAGGGCTGCGTGTGGAGCCACTGGAGGAGGTGCTGGCCCTTGGGGGCCCGGAGGCGGCCTCCACACTGTGGTGTCGCTGCAGGCCACTGTGGCCAAAGGCATCCTTGTACACAGGGGACAGGAAGCTGTGCTTGCTGGCCAGAGGCTCAGACAGCAATACCAACTGAGGCTCAGCAGCAGACACTGCCCCGGATTTGGTACCCTGGAAGGAGGTGGACTCGGATTTGAGTGCATCAATACAGTTGTTAATGATCTGGTTGACCTTGTCCACCTCCTTAGCGATGGTAGAAATCTCAGCCACTGAGCCCTGGCTTTCAGGGCCTGGCCGGCTGAGCTCACAGCCCCTGCGTTCTGGGGGCTCTCCAGTCCTCACCTCGATGTAGTTGCCCTTGGTGGCCTTGGGAGTCTCACTGCTTTCTACCAACTTGTACTGTTCCATATCACCGCTGCTGGCCGGTAGGTATGGGATGCGAGTCACAGCTTCAGGCCCCAGCAGTGGGCCCTGGGACAGCGGGGCCAGCCCAGGCGCCTCTATCTCAGGCCCATACTTTAGTTCAATGATGGTTTTTTTGAGGCTCCCTGCCGCAGCCGCAGCCACCGCTTTTTTGTGTTTTTCTTCCTGCCTCCTCCGCTTGCGCAGACAGTAGTAGACAGCGCCCAGGACCAGCACCATGCCAAAGAGGCAGCCCAGGATGGTCATGATGTAATGAGTGGCTGTAGAGGGGCTGGGCATAGGGCTGGCAGGGCTGGGTGGCTTGGGCAGGCCGATGGTAAGGCAGGTGTGGTTGTGATGTGTGCCCGAGCTGGTGGAGACCACGCAATACGTATAGTTGGTGAGTGTGTACAGGTTGGTGAGCCGGATCTCCTCCTGGGGCTGTGTCAGCTTGGACACAGTGAAAGGCTTGCTGTTGTTATAGTGTTCTAGTGTGTACATGCGGTTGAATGGGCTGGGCAGTTGTACCATGATGGTGGCTGAGTTCTGGGTCAATTGCTTGACCTTCATGAAGGGACGAGCCTCCGCCTGCGTGGCCAAGGTGGTCAGGACCACCAGTGGGGTAGTGCCATCGCCTGAGAAACACTCGTCATCTGCACAGGGCGTGTCACTGGGCTCAGGTGGTGGAGATGGTGGTGGTGAGTGTCCAGGCTGTGAGCGGCCTGGCACCGGGCGGGGTGGCCCCAGTACCTCAGCCCCATAGGAGTCATCAGTGCACACGGACTGCAGTTTGCTAAGGATGCTACGCTGATGGCCATGGCGGCCCTGTCCCAGTAGGAAGTAGCCTGCGTAGACAGGTGGCGACTCACACTGCACTCGGTCATGGGTCTGCGTGGCGTTGGTGAAGGCGGCCAGCCAGCGCAGGAAGCCCAGCAGCTCACAGGAGCAGTAGAATGGGTTACTGTACAGTTCACACACTGAGAGCTTGGTCAGGCCCGCAAAGGTGCCACTGCCCAGCTGCTGGATACGGTTCATGGACAGGTCAATGTTGATGATGTTGGGACACTCCCAAAAGGCGCTGGCCATCACCACCTCGATGAGATTGGCCTGCAGGTACAGGTACTCCAGCTTGCTCAGGCCCCGCAGCATGCCCTCCGTGAGGTTGCGTAGCCGATTGTAACCCAGCTGCAGCACCTGGAGGTTGAACTGACCTGAGAAGGCCCCGTCCTCGATGTAGCCTATCTCGTTCTTGGTGAGGTTGAGGTACGTGAGGTTCCCAAAGCGGCTCAGTGAGGCGTACTGCACGCTGCGGATGCGGTTTTCGTTGAGCCGCAGATCCACAATGGTGTTGTTGATCTGTTGAGGGATGGCTTCATAGGGAGGCTGGTTCTGGCTGCAGATGGCCAGCCACACGAAGCCCTTGTCGCCCTCGATCAGCCAGCAGTCACCCTGGGCCAACCCTCCTGAGTGGAGAAGGGTGGCGGCTGCCACAAACACCCATAGTGCTCCCCACCTGTGCCCAGCCATCTTAGGGGACTCCACCTGTGGGGACAGGATGGGGGGCTGGGAAGTGGCTTCCCCCAGGGGACTTTAGGGGTGTGATGGGGAGCTGTCTGCACTGTCAGAGATGTCCTGTCCCAAGCCGCATGGTGTGAGTGCTGGAAGGGAGGGCGACTCCCTCAAGGCTCGCCACCCCTGGTCGTCCACCCCTGTCCTGAGGTGAGCATGGCCTGCTTTCCCATGGGCCTGTGTATACTGGCGGCTTCACCCAGCTCTTCTGCCTGAAGTTGTCCCAGCTGTAAGACAAGAGAGAAGACAGTGAGTCACAGAAGAAAGACCACATCCAAGGCCACTGGCTGAATGTAGGCAGAACTCAACTGAGCCCCTACCAGAGTTTGCTGTAATAAAGGAACACCCTGGTACTTAGATCACAGGGGGCCTGAGAGAGTGTGGGGTCACCAAGGAAAATGTAGGTTCTAGTTTCTTCCTGTGCAAGGTGGATGTGACATCCACTTTGTGATTACAAAAAGTCTGGTTCACTGAGCACAACCTTCATCCACAGTGAAACTAAGGCCTGAGAAGAGACTCAAAGTCCTCAGGAAATGAGAGACAGGGCCTGCTGAGGGTGGGACTCCCATCTGAGTGACTTGGAGAAGCTGTCCCTCCACTTGGGAGTTAGGCCAGCCCCCGCACCCTCAGAACCACCTGCAGGGGGTGCTGAGCACCCAGTCAATGTCCCCAGCTGGAGGCAGATCTTTTTGGAACTAAGTTCTTCTGCCCTCAAGAAGGCAGGCAGGGTGAGTGGCTCAGCACACACATGGCCTCAGGACTTTCAGAGTTTAACGTGAGCTTTCCTGCCTTGTGACCCAGCAAGCCACACCCCTCTTTAGGCCCTTCAGCTGGGTGATCTCTGAGGCCATCTAGGTAGGAGATACTCGGGGACTTGGAGTTGTCCCTGCCTGGCAATAGAGGAGGGACAGTCTGTTCTGCCAAGAAGTCCTCCCCTGGGGCTGGCAAGGTGGCTCAGTGGGTAAGGGAGCTTGCCCCCAAGCCTGATGACCTGAGTTCGATCCCCAGGACATACATAATAAGAGGAGAGCACCAACTCCTGCAAGTTGTCCTCTGACTACACACACACACACACACATACACACACACACACACACACACTGTAACACACGCCACACACCACATACACAGCTACAACCTCTTGGTTCCAGGGCCTGGCCTACCTCTCTCCAACCCCCACCCAAGTTTGCACACAAGCACCCTTCTCAACCCCTGTCTCTCTAACCCCGCACACCCCGCCAGACAAAACTGTGCCAGTTCCCAGTCCCCAGAGCCTAGAGCATGTGAAGATGGGACAGTGACATGACAGAAAACCGAAGGCAGAACTTGCTGGGGTCCTGCACACCTGGCCCCCCTCTGCCTACCCACAGGATGGAGCACGGGTATCTGCCTGTTAATACCAGGATTTACAGCAGCCTCTGTCACCGCTCGGTGGCCTGGCTGACAGCCAGCCCAGTGTATTTCACCAGTGTTGACGGCTGTAACTAGGCTGCACTGAGGCGGCTCAAATGAGGGGAAAAAAAATACATATATAATGCTCTAAAATGGATTTTCCTCTCTTTGGCAACTTCATAAAGAACCATTTCAATCTGGCTCCCAGAGTGTATTTCAGACTTAGAGAGATGGAGGGGAGCAATCAGAAGAGGTAGGGAACCCAGAGAGGCCTTCAGGGACCCAGGCACCACCCCAGGGCTCTGCAGTCTGGGGCCTGTTGGACCTTGTATGAGCCAGAGAGGGGGCATGGGACAGCAGGTGGTGCAGTCTGCAAGTCAGTAAGCCTGGGAAGACTTTTGGCTCCTCTTCAGTACTGTCATCACCAATGTCAATGCACACTGGTGATGAGAGCCATCCATTGATGTCCCCAAGCCTGTGACAACCATAACTTTTACCAGGAGAGACCTGGGTGGATGGAGCTGCTTCTGCCCCCGGGCCTCCGGGAGGGGTGGTGCTTCAGTGTGAGATCTTAATCAGCTGTAATCTCTTGCTCAAAATAACCCAAAGTCGATCTAAGCGGGATTACAGGCCTGAAGAGGCACCCTAGTGTCTCCTGCCACACGTCTGCCTCCTCTGACACACAGTACAGGTATGTGTGTGCATGCATTGGCACACTCGTGTCTTCCCACTCAGGGGTCTACATGTCTATGCTCACCTGCACATGTGATTGTACACTTATGGGAGCAGGTTCTGCAGCAGTGTGTGCTGCTGTCCCCTATCCATTTTGGATTCCCATGCTGCCCTGCATGTGGCACCCTAGTAACTTGTGTTCCACTCTCCCATCCACCGAAGTCGGGGGTGGGGTGGGGGTGGCACTGTGGGAGTGATGGAGACACGTGTAGCAGGAGCCAAAGGTCAACCTCATTATTTTTCTGAGATAAAGTCTGGAGCTTGGAGTTCTCTGATTCAGCTAGACTGGCCAGTCAGAAAGCCCCTGGGAACCCTCCTGTGTCTGCCTCCCCAGTGCTGGGGTTACAAGTATGTATCACCACACCCAGCTTTTTACATGGGTGCTGGCAATCTGAACTCAGATTCTCCTGCATGCATGGAAAGCATTTTATTGACTGAACCATTCCTTTAACAGTCAACCCACAGGAACCTCATCCATCTCCACCCAGGAGCTTCCAGCTCCAGCTTGAACACCTCCCTGTGACAAGCCTTACTGCCTCCATAGCTCATTGGACAGAGCTGCCCACTAGTCACAAAGACTTGAGAAAGCACCCACCCAGCCTCTGGTACCCTCAGTGGCCTCCAAATCTGGATTTGGGGGCTTCATTGGCCTACAGATCTGCACACCCTATGTGCAAGTTGGATGGTGGGGGGGACCTGTCAGGGCTGTGGAGATGGATTTGTGCCCAGTGACATGGAACAAGGCCATAGGAAGACATTCAGGAGAAGGGCAGAGGACAGCCCAGCCAAGGGTCAGCCAGGAGCCCCCATGAGACGGAATGTGGGCACTGTGAGTCATAGATACACATACCAAACACTGTTAAGAGTTGGCAGTCCAGAGGTCATGGGTCATCTTGACAAAAGGTGTCTCTAACAACAAGACTGGAAATGACCAGGATGCTAAAGATGGACAGGATGTAAACTTTTGACCACACTTTGGAGACAGTTTGCTTTGAGGGAGAAGAGATGGATAGAGGGAAGGCACACCAGTCAATTTGGTTGGTTGCTTCAGCAGAAGGTTCTAGAAGGATGCTATCCAACAGAAGAGCCACTGACTGTATCTGTATATCTGATGTTTAGTATCCACACATGGCCAGAGGCACCCCAACACAGAATGTGGCTTTGACCTAGGGCTGAGGGACATCTCTTCTGGGGAATGAATGAATGACTGAGTGAGGGGGTGGGGAGGCAGGTCTGGGGATGGGATGCAGTCCTGGGCCATCTCATCCTCCTGGGGAAATTTGGCCCACTCCCCTTGACAGTTGCTCCCTATTCTGAGCCCATGGCCTCAGGACTCCAAGCCTGCAGAGGAAACATATGCACACATGCTCACACACCTGCACACACAAAAAAGGAAGAAAGGGGGATCACAGACTAAGGGATATTCAAAGACAACCTAGAGAGGCTGGAGAGGTGGCTCAGCGGTTAAGAGCACTGGCTGCTCTTGCAGAGGACCTCGTTCAGTTCCCAGAACCCACATGGTGGCTAACAACCATCTGTAACTCCAGTTCCAGGGGATCCGATGCCCTCTTCTGGCCTCTGCTGGCATTGCACAACACAGGTGCACTTACATACATGCAGGCAATACACTCATATGCATAACATAAAAATAATAAATAAAAATAAAATAAAAAGACAATGTGGAAACACCCCAAACATGGCTTTCCTAAAGTGCTCTGTCCTGGGGACAGAGGGTGAGCCTCCCTGCAGCCTGGGACCAGCACTTCATGGATGATGGATCTCCCTGATGTTCCAGGCCATGAGGTCATTTGGCAGCAGGTCAGCCTCTGGCTGCATCCTCCTCTCCACCTGCTCACCCCACAGCAAAGGGGTGCTGGGTATAGAATTTAGGAATAGTGGGGAGGGGGCCAAAGGACCAGGAACAAAGGGTCACAGACTGGCAGGAAAGAGAAGTTTGAGAAGAGCTGGGGTGGGGGAGGGGGTCTGATGTTGGGACGCAGGCTGGTGGGCAGGGCACTATCAGGAGGGTCTTAGCAGCCAGGTAGGAATCTGCTAGGCACAAAGGACCTAGGCATACCAGATGAGGGGGTTGGAGAAGGTCTGTGATCAGAATCACCCCTCTCCAGGGGCTGTGAGGTGTCAGCAGGCAGTGCCAGGCAGCACCCTAGGCTTTTGGGAGAGAGTGGGGAAAGGGCCCAGGGTGTAGAGAGGGGAGCCTGGATTTAGTGCCCATCATCCTCTGAGGTACTGAGCCTAAACCACCCAAACTTCCCAAATCCTAAACCCCAGGCCTCAGTTTCCCTACCTGAGTTTCCCCACTGGAAACTGGTGAGCTAGGTGTCTGGGACAGGGCCAGAACCCTAAGGATGACTCCTGAACACACATACACACACACATACACACACATACACATGCATGCACACGTACCCACACACACAACATAGACATACACACACATTCACGTGCACACACAGACACATCTACCTGTGCTCATAGACAGCATGTCTGTGCCCCAGGAGACAATAGTGCAGACAGTGTGTGGGGACAGCAGGGACAGTTTGGAGCCCATCACATTCGTCACCTCCACAGCCCTTCCATGCTCATATCGAATAGATAAATATAACATTGCAGGTTTTTAAACTTATGGTCCGATGTGCATCGTTGGCGCCAGAACTGAGCACATGCTTCTGAAAATATGACTATGTCTTGGATCACGGAGCTGAAGGAGCAGCTAGGGCAGGACTGGGGCTGGGCCAGGGCTACCCCTGGGATTCTGCTGACAGAGTGGATTTCCTTCTGGTCCCTGCACCCCCAGGAGCAGTGTGGGCTGAGGGCCAGGGTAGGGAGGCAGGGAAATGGGTGGAAACTTATCGATTGATAACTTTCCACAGTCCCAATGTTTTGCCAATAGATCATGTTTACTGCTAATGTCTGCCTGCCTCTGCCAGGGCTGCAGCCAGAAGCTTCCCGCGCTCTGCCGCAGAGCCCACGGGGCTGTGATGGGCAGGTCTGGGAGGCTGCGGCCTATGAGGCTGGACTGCACTGACCCGAGCCAGCCAAGAGCAGGCAGGGACCAGCCTGCCCCCTTGCTGCACTGAAGGGC